ATTTAGTGAACAAGGACAAGCAGCTTGTCTAGCTTGTCACAGGAAACTTCTGAGGGGTGAGGTAGAAGGGAGGGGATGGGCTGGACCCTGGGGTTGACACATCCCTTACAGAGGACTCCGGCTCAAAGTAACGGTGGATGCTTTTTCAGACAACCGCGATTCAGCTGATTCATTGTGAGATCATCAGCGGCAGCCCGTGTTCCAAGGCCAAGGATGAGTTGCCCTCTTTCATCCCCCATACAGAAGGGCTCATCGTGCAGCCTTCTTCAGCTGGATGAAATACTACAAGCAAATAACAGAAGCCATTCGTGACTCTGCGCACAGGACGAGGCAGTTCATCAACAAAGCCCGTTGAATTATGCGAGCCTAGAATCTGGCGTAAATGGCAATAATTAGCTCACCGTTGATAATGAGATGGATTTCAGGTATCGTGGGTCATCAATGCTCTTATGACGGTAACATATCCATTGTAATATCAACGCAACACAACACAACGGAACCAACTCCGACCTTTCCTAAATGTCTGTACAGTTGCTCACGACAGAAGCCCCTTGCAGAAAATCATCATTCTCGAAGTTTACAAGTCGGGCAACCATATCGCCTGGACCCAACTAAAACGCCACACAGCCCTTCAGATCGTTTTCCAACCTTTAGATAGGTGCTTGGCATTGGTATTGATTTTGGCACGGACCCCTTGCACCTGCGCCCATAGCGGCCTGCCTGCTTGTGGCTTGGTTAGCTCGCAGAGGAACAAATCGCAAATCGTGCTCGGAATGCCCTACAGCTCCCGGCTCCTCTTTCAGCCTGGCATGCTATCTCGTCTGTAGATTCGATTCGCGGGAAGCGTTTGCTTTTGCCGTCACGTACATACATGTACTGTATCCAGTCAAGGGCAACAATGAGGACTTCTCTACTCCGTAAGGACGGCTGATGTCTTCATTCCCCCCCTTTCAACCTGACTTCTTGTTCTGTTATATTTTCCATATCTCTCTCAATTCTACCAATACTCATATGTTTGAACTTGGCCGCTATTATGAATGGTAACTCTCCGTATCAAACCTACCTGCATGTGGGCACCGTAGTCTTCCTACTTACCTACCTACTCCGTATGTACATGACAGTTGCTGTCACGTTTCTCCCACGTGGCCAACTGCCTGCTGTGCTCCCGGTCTGGGGTTAGTCCAGAAACAAACTAGCCAAGATCAGTTGAGCCCTTGACTGGTCGAAGTCCTCTTCCATGGATTTTTGAACTTGACCAACTGGTGTGAAAATGTGCAAATTGCTGGATTTCTGAAGACATGACTCAGGACGCTGAAATAATTCGCGTCGATCTCCCGAACCCAGTCAGCATTTGGTGTCTTGTCAGACCGACCTACTACACGAGAGAACGGGTAGGTAAATCAAGGTCGATGATTTACAGTACATAAAATATTAGCTGCGAATCACTCCTCAGTTTATGCACGACCACAGGGTAAATCCATGCTGGGAAAGCATCACAATCGTATCAAACTTTAATTATGTTCACAATCCTAGCGAGAATCACAAAATATTATGTTTGATGACCCGCCCTGTTTTCACTCGCCTAAGAGGCGAAGGTCACTGTTCTGCGTTGTATTGCAGTCGTCAACGTCGCTTCGTCCAGAACAAGGTGTTGGGGTTAGTCGTGCTGAATGAAGAGGCTATATGTGTCGTATTATGTGATTTAAGTGCAGGGACATTGAAACTATTGCCTCGAACCCATCAGGTGTTTCTTCCACAGCGCACAGTACTCCGTACATCCCCAAGGTTCCTTTGGAAGCGAGTGACCACGTGTAGGACCTGGAGGAGCTGTGATGGGCAACCGGCGAGAAGCAGACATATATGATGCCATATCGCGCAACTTGAAGGTCACTGATTCATATTTCATGTTGTATCGCCTGCGCTCTTTCTCTGCGGTAGCTCATCCTCCCATCATCGCTATCGAAACTCAACGCCTGCATTTACCGCATGTTTCTGACCTTCAACGTTTCATCCCTTCTTCCCCGGTAGGGACGCTACTTGAGCATATCTCCCAATTCCGAAGGAGCAGACATGGACCAGGGCCTTTAAACAAAGTGCCTCGAGCGCTTCGCCGGATGTAGCGTTTCCACTGAAGATGTGCCATTTCACTCCACTCTCGTGCGGAGAGTCAACTCATTTGGACCGCCTGGCTGAGACTTGCTGGACTTGATCGAATCGTCCCCTTCCGTGTCTGCGATGCAGCCCACTCGCCAGGTACTGGGTTCGGATGACAGGACAAGATGCTAAGCTGATTTGTCGAAAGATTCCGATATCGCCCCAATCTGCTTCGGAATGGTCAGTGTCTCAATGCAATCGGCGTGCCTGTATTGAGTTAGTGTCAACGGCACTGCGGCGGGTGCTATAGTTCTTCTCTGTTATACCTTCGTCGAAGGTGTGTTCTATTCAGTGCCGACACCAATGTACCAGTCGTATTGGGTGTCACAAATGTCGCGTACCTCGCATACCCAAAATCTCGCTTGCCGATCCAAATACTTCAGGCAAATCGGGCAGTAACAACTGTGGGTAACTGAGCACGAGCATGCTTAGATATCTCCAACTTAGGTACTCCGTAGGTATGTCGATCTAAACAATACGCCGTTGTCCAGATGTATGTACTTATATTCTGACTGTACATATTAAGCATAGACCTCTTGACCTTGTCGGCCAAGTTCATCAAGTGTCCACATGTTGGTTAGTTACAGTTTAATGAAATATATTACTTCGATGCAGCCCTGGCTTTGTCTTGCAGGTCTCGTATTGGAATTCACACTATGGCCATGGTCCAGGCATTAAGCATTTCGAGGCAAATGGTATCAGACGATGTATGGGGCTCGCCTTGTTACAATGACTGTTAGCGATAGTACGGATACCTGTTTCGCCGAGCAAAGTGATCTTCGAATACATGTAAAACTGTAGATCTCGATGGTATGGCAATCAAAGTCAACAATTCGTTTCAAAACTATGCTTTATGTTATTGATGGACGTGTCGTGACTACTGCCGGTAGAGAACAACTAAACGAATTGCTAGTTCTGAAATAGACAATTGTAGTGTTTTGAGCAGAATGACTCCTGGCTGTGGTATTATGGTATTGAGCTGACGTGACAAAGACTGATACCTGGTTATTCCTCTACCGGACGAAGAAACCAGACCGTTGCTTTGTGACGCTTCTGTTTCTCTTCAGGAGAATATCTTTAGAGCTCTTTGCATGCTTCTTCAACTTAGGTGCCATCCTCTCATCCGTCTTTTTAGCAACGCGGTAGACAGTTGAACCTACCCGCTCATCCCTAGGTCCCCTTTCCTGGCGGGCCAGGCTTCTTTCGACAGTGGCAACACGACGTTTCCTTGGACGTTCCTCTGGTTGATCGTCAATCTCATCGGCCTCATCCTCGCTGGAATCTGCCAAAAACTCGGGGGGTAACAGGTTCACCGCGTTCTCTGCTTTGCTGCGTTGTATGAGTGACTGCGCCGGCCCCTCTTCAACGGACGCTTCTTCATTTGACCCGGCCTTCTCTTGCTCCTCCAGCTTTTTGCGCTCTTCAGCTTGTTGCTTGAATAAATCATCCCGTTCCCGACGCTTGCGCTTCTGTGCAGCAGCTTCCCTGGGCGCAGGTTAGAAAGTCCAGAACATGAAATAATAAGACCGGCGAAACTCACTCATGTGCTGCTTTCTGAGCTGCTTGGTTGGATTTCTTGATATCAGACGCCATTTTAGAAGTTGATACGGCCTCAGGCGCTTCATCGTCACTATCATCTTCCTCATCTTCCTCTACCTGCGCAGCAGGTTTAGGGACTACCACAGGGGGAGGCGCCGGGTTGTCATTGTCGTTATCTCCAAAGACCACCTTGGTACCCTTTGATTCCGTTAAAGTTGGCATTGCAACGTCACTGGAATCACCGTCTTTGGCTCTTACAGGCAGCTTGCGCTTTTCTTCCGGTGTCGGTTTCTCCACAGATGTATCTTTCGTTGTGTTCTGGTTGTAGTTTCTCTTGCGCGTTTGAGGTGCCATCTTCGAGTATTTGTAGCTGACGAACAGCTTGTGGCAAATGCGAAGAAATGTGATTTGGGATGCTGATGCTCTTCAGCTGCAGGAAAATAAAATGTCAAAAATCAAGACAATACGGTATTATGATACTTCAGGCTTTTCAGTCAGAGTATGAAATTAGCACCCTACGCTGAATTTGCTTGTGAAATGTTGTTGATTGAGCTCTTCAAGATGTATGAAAAATTCAGTTCGAGATGGGTTTTTTGACGGGCATTTCACCAATGTAAGATATGATTGGACACTCGCGCCCCACACATCAAGTAGTGGCAGAATCTCACTTCACCTCACCTACTACATGCGACTACTGGCGAAAAGGGTTCTTTTGGTATAATGGGTAGCCAGATTGTCTCTTATTTATTGAGTAACTGACCCAAAACATGTCGACTGCAAAGCTTCATATAAAACCTAGTAATGTCTACCCATTGCTACGTGGTGACTTTACATTACCAGGTGGACTTGTCGCACAGTCATCTCATCATGCTGCCCTGAGCGCCTCGAGCAATTTCATTAGGTATCAGACTCGCTCATATGCTACTCCTAGAGGCGCAAGGAAACCTCTTCGTCCACCCCCTCGGGCGCCCAAGCTTGTTAAAGTTCAGCCAAGCTCCAGCAATCAGACTGATTTTGACCTCAGTCAAATTTCACCTATGGACTTCGAACTGGCTATGCGAGCGTCCGAGAATCAAGTTGGTACTCTCAGACCAGACGAATATTACGAGTATGCATCAAGGTTTTCAAATGCCATAAGAAACGGAGCACTTCCTTCTAGTGCCAACCTCTCTGGCAAGTCCCCCTCGGAAGAGCGTCTAAGGGCCCACTAACAACGTGCAGAGAATCAGATCCCAGTCGAGGTTGCACATGAGATGGCATGCTTATTATGGTTGCTCCGGAGAACGAAAGCCCACAGTTCATTCTCGATGGCATTGTGGGCTTCGGCTTCAGAACTCAACTATACTCCTGCGGTCGTCTCCCTGGCGAGCCAGCTTTTCGCCAGTGGATCTTGGCGGAAAACAACTGCATTCGCAGATGCTGAGAATCGGTTCATGAAGCTTGTAGCTGAAGCGAAGAACTGCAATGCTCTTACAGTCTATGGCGAATACCTGTTCCAAGATGGAAAATATAATCAAGCAGTTGCGATGTTAACCCAGGCCCTCAACGTTGACGATGGAGTCTTTGAGTGGAAGCGGAAGTGTCTGATATGTCTCGCAAAGACTTATGCCAAGCTTGGGAGAGCGCACGAGGCAAAGAAAACACTTGAGTTGCTAGGAGACCCAGAAGCAGACGCTGAGCTTGACCAGTTGCTTCGATCAAGCGATGCTGAGATGACACGTCAACGATTGTACACAGATGCTGTCAAGGGCAAGCATGATTTGTTCTCACAGCTGGCCGAAGTAGAATTTGAGAGAGAAGCCAAGGAGACGGATGTCGAACTGAAGAAGAACCACCATCTATTGGGTTTGGAGTGGTCGAGACTGGCAGACCCAGGTGCAAAGTTTTAATGTCATGGCGTGACTGGAAATACATTAAGGTAAGACACGGAGGTTGCCCCAAGCCTCGTAAATTTCACTATGTTATATTGGAATAACAATTTGAGCGCCCTCTGTAGTGTATGTAAAGGAACTGACGTTACGGTCTCGAACAACCCCCTTCTGTCTTATATAACCTAGACAGTATCGACGCTCATGTCTTCTGCCTTTTTGTGGTATTCTCGATGCTGCGCCGTCTACTGCTCCGTTTACTCATTGCTCGATCCCCATTTTCGATAGACTTTATTCCTTCGCCTTCCTCCTTCGCCTCATTATCTTCACGACCCCCTTCATCGTCTCCATAACCAGCGTGCTCGCTACCATCGCTCTCAATATCGCCTTGAATCTCCCCACGGTCGGTAGGAAATAGTTTGCGCCAGGTTCCATCAAGCGCCTGGCCATCATTCCCATGAAGGCCAACCTGATATGCAGTCTTCACAGCAGAGATGCACACATCACGTCTTTTTGCAAAGTCAAACATTGGTTTTGGATATGTTCCCTCCTCAATACTGTTCAATCCATCGCCTTTTATGCGGACACCTGCCTTCTTCTGATCCGGGAGGGGGGCTTTCCACGGTTCATAGATGTACTTGGAGTCCATATTTTTGAGCTCTGGCACATAACGACGGATGAAATTTCCTTCCTTGTCCCACTTCTGGCCAAAGGCTATCGGGCTATAGCAGCGGAAGTACTGTGAAAAGAAGGCCGTACAAGACAACCACTGCCAGTTGCCAGCATTGCAAGCCGGCTCATGGTCTATGAGCCATTCCTCGAAGACCTCGCAGCCTCGCTCCCAGTCAATATAGCAACCGCCCCTTGTCAGAAAGCAGGCAACCGCATGCCGTCCCAGGTGATGGATCCAGCCTTCGTCTTTTAGCTGTCTCATTAAAGCATCTATCCAGGGGAACCCGGTCATTCCAACTCTCCATCTTCTGAACCAGATATCTGCCTCCTCGGAGTCAATGTGATACTCTCCAGTAATAAGTCCCGTTTCTGAATCTCTCTTGGAGGGCAAGTGCCAGGGAATGAAACGACAATACGGATTGTTCGCCGTCTGCGAGAAGACATAACCCAAAGCAGCTTGAGCGGCGAAGTACATGTCTCTGAAGAGTAGTTGGCCAAGGAGGCTTTCTGGGGGGTTTGAAGCGCCCTTTCCATACGAATCGACGATTTCCCTTACTCGCCAATAGAACAAACGCACAGAAAGCGCCCCGAAGTGCAAATATGGCGAGAGGAGAGTGGTAGCTTGTGGCTCGAATTGAGCTGGATTCGTTTTGGGTTTCTGGAAAGTTGCAGTGTATTTCTCATCTGCAATCAACTTGTTTAGTTCTTTCAACGCCAGTGTTTCTCCTCCACGATGCGGGGTGGTCGCTGGTGGGAAGCCCAATTCCTCCATTGTTTCAATGGCAAAGTCATCGTTTGGCCCTGCTATCCTGGTATAAGATTTATCTCCTTCGGTCCGAAATCCTGCATTGAAATCTGGTTTGGTATTCGGTTCGTCCTGCTCAAAGTTGACAGGCATGTCTCCCGGATCTGGAAGATGTTTGGGAGCAGGAATGGGTTTCCGGATCTCACCAAGCTTGCTCCCGGCGGTTTGAAGCTGCGTGATAGACATTGTTGGCTTTCCGCCATGCTTCTCGACTATCTGGTCACTATCCCATAACGTCCTGCCTGAACGGACAAGGACTTCGACACCGGCATCTTTAGCCGCCTGAACGACAACGCTATCTCTCTCGCGACCATAACTGTCTGTGTCTTTTTCGAAAACCAAGTGGGTGACCTTCCATGCCTTGAAGAGTTTTGGAAACAGAGTCTGTGGTGCTTCTCTGAGAACAAAGAGTTTTGACTTGGGGTTCACCTGTGAAATAGATTGGGAGAGGTCATTCTGGCAATCCAGGCTTTACTTCGTCAGAATAACTTCAAATCAAGGAGCAACTTTTCTCTCTCTCTCTCTCTTTCTTACAGAAACTGCCATCTATTGAGGCCTCCTCTTGCTCGGTATACGTAATGAGGATCCCACGTAAAGATGGGCCAAAGAACAGCTGGATCAAGGTCTAGAGCCGCTTTGAGAGCAGGTGAATCGTGAAGTCGCAAATCTGTTCGGAACCAATAAATCACACGAGGTTTTGCCATCTTCAAAATTTGATGCAATACTGTCGCAATAGGAAGCCGAGATCATTGAGAAGTTTGGCATATCACTTTCAGATGTACTTCTTAGTCGAAAAGTCATGATGTCAACACTTGTCAGACCCCAGCCACCAGCTTTATGGCCAGTCAGGACACTCAGCTGACTGACCTAGTGTTTGGGATAATCAGAAACAGCACATTGATTAGCTACGCATTATGGCAACATTTTCCATCCATGTGTTTAGTTTGCTTACTAACGCAAGTTGTTGTGCTTTATGAACTCCTTCAAAGCAGACACATGTTCCAAATAGAGTCAAATAACTTTGCTGCTCTTGCAGTAACTTAAAAAGGTACGGAGTAATGAGACCAAAGATCAAGAATAAGACATACGTACTCAGGTGAGTTTTGACATGAACCCATGCAGCTTCACGTTAAATGGAAAAACTTTTAATTGCCTACCTGTTTATTGTTTAGCTACTCAAGGGAGAGATCTTCAGCTGTTTTGCCTGCCATTCAATACCCCCTATATTAAGTCTAATGTCTATGCTAAGATTTTAACTGAATTGGCTACGGCAGAGGTTATTGTTTGATTGCATCTTGTCAACCAGGCAGTAATGGAATTGGTAAACAATATCCCGGAATCAGACAACGAGCACATGCAACATCGGCCACTTCACCATTAAACTTAGCATTGGGTAAAGCGCAGTGACTACATAGGCATGATCGGAAAAATGAGACCATGAGACGTACTCTGTACACGGTGAGACATTAGCCAGACCTACAATGACCTTTCCAGTGCAAAGAGTTCGGTTTATCAATAGTCTCGCCAATAGTCTTCCTTCGGTGAGTCCCAAGACCATTCTAGGCGGACAGGGCAAAACATACATTCAGAGATCGTGGCTCTGTAGTAGTCCATTCGCTGAAGAACGAGCCCATCCCTTCTCAAGGGAGTGGTCACGGCAGCCATAATACAGCACGTGGGCGATGTTGTTCTAGTGCTGTTATTGTTCAGTTGCTCCTGTTAAGGAGCTTTCAACTGTAGCTGAGACACAAGTGTCTTATCCCTAAGCCCCAAATCTCACATATGCCGTGTCTCACCTGCAGCACAATCGCCTGAGCATTCGCGTGGCCCAAGTTTCCATTGTTTTCTTCGTTGACAAGTTCAACTCAAGACGACTATGTAATTACACTATTGGCACGTAGCATCTTGATCAGCTGAGTTAGCAACGGATCTAGGAGTGTACCGTATTTACTACATAATATTCATCACGGCTAGCTTAACGGCTAAGCTGTCATAGGTAAGGTAACGTAGCTAATTGAGCAAAACTAAGGCTAATAAATTAAGATAGATAAAGATGCGCTGAAAAGCCTCCTTCTACCTCTATAAAGATTATACGTCTATACAGTATCGTTCTACTGTATCTAAGTGTAAGGCTTGCAGTAGCTTGTAAAAAAGCCAAGCTAGCCGTGATGAATTTTAACAGTAGATACGGTACATCTGCGGGTCTTACACATGCAGTTAATATTTGAATTAGCATTCATTTCCCATAACAGCAAGTATTAGCCCAGTACTGAGTGCTGATGCGGCTCAAGTTCTATGGTATTGGCGTGTCTAAAGAGTGCCCCGTCGACTATTGAGAACGGCGGCAATGGACAATGCAGCCACATGTAAGCGGCATCATTTGCATCCACATGAAAGTCATAGTTCTGTCAAAATGCATGCTGATCATATAAGTCAACTGCAAGTCTCCCCGCAGGTTGAAGGTGGAGACCAAAGTAAACAACAAACCAAACAAACCAAACAAACAATTACAAAAAAAACAAGTAAACACGAGTCCCTGAGCCCTTTTACAGCACACGCCAGTCTAACGTTAAGATCTGCTAATGTTAGTATAGGTCATTGATTCTCCTCGACATCAATACGATTTCCACTGAAGAGAAGACTGTGACGACTCTTTCCTTGAATCAATAAGACTGAAAGAGTTGTGGTTCAATCATCAATGTACTTCGGAGAGCCCATTATTATACGGAATAGGACATGATCAGATTATTCATTCTATTGACAAGAAGCTCTCCATTGGATCCCATCCGACGAATAGTATTAGCAGGTAGGCAGACAGCAGATAAATCTGGTCGAGTTGCAGCCAGTCAACGATGACGTCTACGGAGACAAGACGGGCGCTGCTGTCCTCGTGCCCGACGCCGAGGTATATTGGTGACCTTGGCGAATCATGGCACTGTTCGCGGTTCGGGATGGAAGATTGTGACTGCAAGGACAACGGAAGCATGCCCTGTCAAGTCTAGGAGTATGCTCGGCGGATCCAATCGAAACCCGTGTCGTTTTCCACATTGTGAGAGTATATGACTGTATACGTGTACGATGCTAAAAAGGGCCCGAGACAGTCCAGTTCAATTATACAGATTTAGTACTGATACAATAGACACCCGAGAGGACGCGATGCGGTTATTTGTAAGCCACCACCGGAGCCTACAAACTGACTAACACAAGTCCAGGACAGACGGCTAACCTGGCTTGAATTCATTATAGTCTGCGGGCGTAGTAGTCCAGACCACAATAACAGTTGGAGATGTGGGTGTGGGCGCGGAATCATAAAGCAATATGGGTGGTGATCAAATTTACCTTCGATTCAAGCACTCTGAACAAGAAACAGAAGACAATCTTTTGTTACATAAAATTGGTTTGTGAGGCAAGATGCTTCACTCCCTTACTCCCCTCTCCCCTACCCGAATGAGCGAGTGTGCAAGAGGTTGACGGTACCCTATTATTAGAACTTTTGAATCTCAAATGCAATGCGGGGCTGGAGCAAGCGAGCGAGTGATCGACG